TCTTTGGCTTTTGTGATCTCATCATTTTAATTTTACTCTGATTGACAGTTTTTCACATTAGTGAACTTTTTCATTATAATGATTATTGCACTACATTCCTTTTTAAAATCAAGACATTAATGTGTATAATATTGCATATTATAGATGGTAGATAACAGACTGCTTAGGTAATTGTGATGTTTTTGTGTCTTTTCTCTCAGTACACACTAATGTTTTGCTTGTGTTCATAAAAAGTGACAATGATATCTACATGAAGAAAATTTTAGGAAATAATTCATATGCTCAATAAAAAAAAAAAAGACATTCCCAGTTCAAGTATCATTACTCGAAAATGAAAAATGTATTACTACTACAGCATTTTTGAGGCAGTGATTTTATTAATACATTAGTAATTACATTCTGTTCCAGGCTTCCATGCACAATGTTAACAAAAGTTAAAACCATTATTAAAGTCATGACAGTGCAGCTAACCTGATAGAATCTTAACTGTTCAAATCAATGTAACTATGTGAGAAGGCAAACCAATGGGACATGGTAACAGAATGTTAACAGTGTGGGTTGTTTTTGTACTAAAGAAGTGGAAGATATTGTTAAACTATTAAGTTGTAAGCTACACTTTTTACATTTTAATTTAGATGTTTGTTTACTAGAGGGAGCTAATCAGGATGATGACATGCCTGAAAAGTTCATGAAAGTTAAGGCCTCTGTAGAATCTGGCAATTTTGGACAGTGTGTAGAAAAAAACAAGAGAACAGTGTAAATACAAGACCCAATGAAGTAGTCAATTAATGAGTAATAAGTACTCAGTTCAGTGTTAGTAGTTAGCAAAGAAATTCTTTAAATAAGTTATTTGTATTAAAGAAACTTAATATTAGTATTATCACAGTTTTTATTGACCACAAAAATGCAATACCATATAATGTGAGCACCTTCAAAAGGTGGATCTTTCTTCTTCAAGAGCAAACTGAAGATAGGTCCACCTTTAGAAGTGTTCAGGTTACAAGGCATCATATTTTTGTGTTAAATTGATTTCTAAACCTACGTATTTTCCTAACATCATGAGTGTTTCTTTTAAACCCTTCTTTGTAAACTTTGACCTAACATGAAACTTATGTAAAAGTGAATGTAGTCCATAACAATATTAACGAAGAAATAAATTAATGTTATTGTTACATGGACTGTACTTGAAACATTTGGTAACCTTCCAATGATAGAACATGTTATAACACTTGTATTAGGAGTGGGATTATTTTGGTGACAATAAAATAGTTTTGTCTTTGACTAAACTTGAACTTTAAGATGACGAAAATGTTATTGTTACATGGACTGTACTTGAAACATTTGGTAACCTTCCAATGATAGAACATGTTATAACACTTGTATTAGGAGTGGGATTATTTTGGTGACAATAAAATAGTTTTGTCTTTGACTAAACTTGAACTTTAAGATGACGAAAACATGTAGCGGTCAAAAATCTACTGGAAATGATCAAAATGGAAAGAAGATCAAGAAAAAAAGACAGAAATTTAAAAAAAAGAACAAGAACAAAGATGAAGTCATTTACAGAAAATTAGCAAAGACCTGCAAAACACTTGCAGTCGAATTAGTATCTTTATTGCAACATTACTTCTTTAAATACAGGATCATATTTATAAACCATGATTGATTATATTTCCATTTCACTTAACATGAAGCAAATTAATACCAAGTATTAAGCTGATATATTGTAATTTCTAATCTCAAAATAATACAAAAGAATTCTCATCACAGACACTGAAATCTGTAAGTCTATTTGTGTTAGGCTTAACATTAGTTAAGCCTTTATTAAGTACAACCCATATTTGAGAAAGAGAAATTATCACTAACTTGTGCATGTGTTTTATTCTAGTTTAGTTAGTAACAACAACAAACATCTGACTGGCCAAAATATAATTTTTAAAATCTAACTTTTCAACATGCACATCAGACTGAAGACAAAATCCACAATGCATTTGAAAAAACTGTAGAAAGGCATCAATAGTGGACAAAAGAATTGTAATGACAAAATTGAAGAAACAGAAAAAAAAAAACTAGTGACAGAATAAAGCATCTGGAAAATAAACTGGTAAAGGTAAATAATAAGCCAGTATCTGCCTCATAACTTCAACCTAAAACCAGGTTTACAATAAAATATAGAATAGAACATATTTGGTCTACACCTATTACCAATACTGCTGTATCATCTGTTGCTGCATGATCTTCTTGGACTAATCCAACCATGTCAATACCAAATTTAGTTTCTTAATTTAGCTGGCCAATTTAATAACCTTACCCTAATAAGAATCCAACAGACTATTTTGTAAGTGTACCAGGGGAGGTATATCACACTCAGATCAAAATAATTTCCAGATTAAACAGGTGGAATAGTGACAAACAAGCTATACATCTTCCTGCCCATTTAAAATGACCAGCTTTATTGACATCAAGTAACCTTATAGCCAAGAGCCATAAGAACTATCAAGTATTGGTAGCTGCCTTATCCAACAGGTTTGGGATTTGGTGTAACACACTAGAAAGAAGTATTTACAGCAAAGTTGCTGAACAGGATACAGAGAAAAAAAGATACCTTAGTTGAACTTGCAGAATATTTGAGAAGGTGGATTAGTTGACACATTTATAGATACCAAAACAGACAAGAATATAAGAATTAGATTGAAGCAAAGTAGATGAAAATGTTTGAAGAAAGCTCTGCAGCTGGTTATGGAATTTGAATTAATTAGAGTTTCAGATATATAACTAAAAGCAGCATCTAGAATCTATAAGAGCATTAGAGCAAATAGTACTAAAACATCAACTCCCCATGATGATAGTCAATAAAAACTGAAAGGATCAATTATAAAACTAGTTACACAGAATACACGAAATAAGTACAAGTGTAACTTAAAAGACAGATGAAACTTGAAACGACAGAACTGTAGATAAAAGCCTGTATGGAATAAAAACTTCTTCCAACAGATACCAGAAAGAGGAAACTGTTACAGATACAAAAAACCATGCCATTACAGACACGAATGTGAGGAATCAAAAGCTGTTATTAATCCTATGACAACAACAGTTTTTAAACTCCATTTTGCACATCACTAAGTTACATTAAACATTTAATTAAACCACTTTACTATCAATGTATTTTAAGGAAATTATTATTATCAAGTGTGTTATAATTAACTTAGTTTTATTCTTATATTTCAAAAGAAACATTGAAAGCAATAGTGAAATTTCTTAGGTTTGTGTCATGTGATGCATTAACTATAAACAATGTTGAAATTTAGCAAAGTATAGCTTGAATCATAAAGGGGTAGTCATCTACATGTAAGTCTAGATCATAATGTAGCTTACTTGTCCTTTTGACAGGTACAATTCGAGACACTTTTACTGAATGTAGTTGATACAAGAAATAAATTTTGCCAAACTCTGACAGGTACTACTCCCACCTTCTATAGTTTAACACTGAGCTTTAGTTTATAGTTGTTTAAAAGAGCTAATTGTATACTATAATCCAATAACAGTTATTTTAAAATTGGTGCCAAGTTGTCATTCTTTAGTTGATGTAACTACTTATACTATTATTGGCTGCTCTGTTAATGATAGCACTTCAGTTGTTTCTTACCTAAATAGGTTATAGTTAGAGAGACAGTTAAATTGTATTTAAGTTTTATATTTTAGTTAATTATGCATTATTTGTGTTTTAAAATTCATATTTGAAAGGTTTAACAATTTTTTATAAGATAACTAAAGCTTTCTCTTGTACTGCAAGGCTTACATTCTAGAGATTATGCAAATGAAATGTAAAACTGTAAGATAATAAACTGTATTTTTATACCCAGAATGAAACTCACCTTGCAAGTGAACTACTCAGATTCTGAGTGCAAATAATTAAATTAAATAATGAATTTTTATTAGAAATAATAGAAAACCAAAATCAAATATTTTATTTTTCTCAAACTACATAGTTTTCTGAAAGTTCTTGTCACACTTTAAACAATTTTATCCACTCATTTTATTATTGGAACAAAATTTAATGTGAGTTACATGACATGCTTCACCTTGCAGTACACATTATTGTTACAGAATTAAACCAAGTAGACAACACCCTGAAGACACGTCTCAGAGCCCAATCACACCAAAGGAACA